GCTCACAATAAAGATACCACCTGCGAAGTCACCCATATCGCGAAACTCTCGTCACGAAAACACACTGCGAGTGGCGCCGCCCGTCAAAGAAGAGTGCACATCACCTATCTTACCAGCAACGAGTGGCGGTAGTGTATCTCAAGGCCCTGCTCCTACGCCCGTGTCGTCTCGCAAACGAAAAAGGACCGACGGGCAACATCATACTGTCGGTTCTCGTGCATCCAAGCGCTTACGGCATCGAGAACCTAGCGTTGGACCATTGCAGTTCGCCGGATGCGGCAAGGTAATTCATCGGCTGTTGTATCCTCGCACCGAGTGTTGACCTTGTCTAGTCAGGAAGTGGATCCCCTACAACTTCAGGCCCCTTGATACCAAAGGGACCCTCCACTATAAACACATCTGTAGAAGGCAAAGTGACCCGCCCAAACCTATCAGTCGACACATCTATTGCAATAGGGCTTCTAATGGGCCCGTTATCACCATTAACACCTCTTTCACCGTCGCCTTCACCTTCACCATCACCCCTATCGCTAACACGGTTGCCGAGCGAGCGTCACGGCTCGCCTTTGTCTCCCACTCTTCGTCGCAGCAGTAGAATTGCGGTGAAGAATGGGGAGGAACGCGAAGGCATGCAATCTACCACTTTACACATCAAACGAGGGACCAAGCGAAAACAATCGGCCTTGGAGACTGGTGATCAAGTGACTTTGAATGGAGACATGCACTCACTTGTTGAACAGAAGGCATCCACTCTACCCAAGTTCAAGAAGTATAAAACCGCGGAAGGCGCTGCTCCTGCTAGTGTCATTGGTCTGTCTCAAGCCCCAGAAGATGGAACAAAGGTCGCGTATCCAGCATACCATCAGTCGCCATCGAACGATCACCGTTCTGGTCACGAACATGATAAACCCGTCCGTGACCGCTCCGCTACCCCGGTGCCAATGCTCGAGACCGCAGTTCTATTAACAGGGCCTATTGTGGACTCTACGCCAGTGCTCCCCGTCGGCGTTCAAGCCGATGGTCAGGAAGGGGCTCATGAAATCGAGAAACAAGAGGACATTTGTGGGTACTTCTCATCTTCGCCAAAGCGGTCCCTGTTGACATCTACTTTTCGCCACAAAAGTTAACATGAGTACTTCGACAGGAGTTACACAAGGCGACTTGGCTAGCCATCACATTTCAAGACCCATTACTGAGCCCTCTGACGCTCTGGCACCTGCCACGGCTCACAATTCGTTCGTTGAGAGCCACCCCATCAATAACTCTGTGGAACAGTATTCGGTTTCACAACCGTCCCTTTGCGTCCCGATAGATAGAAAGGAGTTTGAAGACTTCAAGTCCCTCTTGGACTCAGGTTTTCCCCTGGGTGCACCAGAAGAAGTCCAGGTATTGGATCTAACTTTCAAGGAAGGTACACTGGTCCTTCCGATAATCACTCGCGAGCTATTTGGACCGCTCAGTATGCGCCGGATCCCGGAAGAATTTAGATATATGTACGTGGGGTACTGGCAGGTTGTAGGCACTCAGGTCGGACCCAAGTCTCAGTATCTGTCACTTCGTCCTCATCTTCCCTATAGAAAACTCGTGTCAAAGCATCGTCAAGAATCAAGCCAGGGAATGGCCAGTCGCACTTCGTCATGGGCAGAGTGCAGTGGTCGTTTAAGCTGCGATGGCATGCAAGTGGCGAAGAAGATCTTGGATATCCCAACCTGCCTTGGTGGAACCCGTTCCAACCAGCTATTTCAAGACTTGTTGGTTCCGTAGAGCGACTTTCCCTTTCTCAAGGCCCAGAGAAATCAAAAGATGAATTCGTGACATCCTCCAGCTCCCTTCCTTGTCTATGGTCCCCATCGTTACTAATGCCAGGACCAGATAACGAAGAGGGGCCAAATAGCGGCGATGATCGTTCAGTTAGGGGCTGGTACTGCTCAGACTGCGGCAAGTTGAATCGACAAACTTTTTGGCGAAGACGAAAATGCGGAAGCTCATTCTGTAAAGTACTGTTTCCGGTTCTCTGTCTATTGGATCCTCGTATTGATCTTTAGTCTAGGACAAACCGATCACGTCTTGTCCTGTCCGAAGGCTCGATGTCGTACGAGAACGTGGTCAACAGCAGCCAATGGTACTACCCATCAATACGCAACCAAACTTTATCGATCCCCTCATCTCGGAATGGAACGATGGAATCAAGACTATAACAAGCAAATTCAGCGAACACTCGTGTAATAGTCAGGACGGAGTAACGTGTACAGATGCATGGGCCAAGCACATTTTCACTGGCAATCTTAGCTATTTGCAAGAAGACCAAACTCAGCTCTTTGAAGACATGCAACGCGATGTTATCTTCGAAAGAAAGCCCCTAGACACCAGTACGTTGGTCTTCACCTCCGGGTGTCAGTTGCTCACTCTTTGTCCATAGTGCCCTACTTTACTTACGCAGTTGCCGCGTCATCTGATACATTCAGTCTTGCGAAGTCATTTGGAACCTTGTCGGTTAGCTGCGATACAGCACCCAAATGTATGGCCAACGCAAGTGACTTGTTACTTCACATATCACGCTGTTATGGGGAGACCGACGTGAGCAGAGTTTTGGGTTTGGTGGCTCTTGCGTGGTCAACTAATGGACGGCGAAAGGTGAGCCCCCTCGTGGCGTACCCTGGTAGTAAAATTTAAACAGGCTATAGGGAGATACGTGTTTAGTAGCAAAGCACCAAACCATCGTCATCATGAATCTAGGATGCGACACAGTTATTGATCTTCTTCCGCATTCCTCCAGTACTATATCCCCGTCAAAAATTCCGCCTACGCCTGTTCCATCTCCTATCAAAACCGAAGTGCAAGAGGAACCATCGCTAAACGTCGCGTCCGACTGGACTCAACTTATCCCTTTGGAACCCGAACCGGACGAGCAGGAAGACAAGCCTAGTCTTGTCACCGAACCTCAGCATATGAATGAGGTTGCCTCGACGCTCGAAATCGTCAAGACACAAGAACGTCATCAAAAGACGTCAAAAGTGGAGATCTCAAAGTTTACTCTTGTCCATGGTGATAGTCTGATCCTGGCTGGGGACGACTTTGAAGTAAGGAGCACGCTCTCTTCATACTCAGTATTAACGATTCTCTCTGCAGTACACTATTCAAAGAGAAGGTACAAGCATACGTGAGTATCTGAGTCTCTTTACAACCGCTTTCACATTAACTGAAGTATCGGTAGTCCTACTGGGTGTATTAGCTTGAGGTCGATTATGTGTTCTCATAATGTATTGCGATCTATTTGTACAGTAATTGTATCAAAAATACAGTCCCCGTTCATGTGGCACATGGCTCGTTGCTCCAGACCACCAAAATCACAGGCTCAACGCCTCTTCCTCTCACATGTTCGCTACACTCAAACGTCTCTACACCGTCTGTCCCTTCACCTTTGATATCCCTACTAAGCTGACGTCTGGTATATACACCTTAGATTCTCTATCCACCAGAACCCAAAGCTTCGGCCGACAGCAAGCCGCTTAGGTTCGGGATATTAGGCGCCGCCAACATCGCACCTCCAGCCCTCATCATTCCCGCGAAATCTCATCCCGATGTCGTAGTCTATGCGGTCGCTGCAAGGAGTCTCGCCAAAGCAGAGGCATTTGCGAAGAAATACGGTATAGCTAAGGCGTACGAAGGTTATCAGCGTACGTTTTGGACCATTCAATTCCGAATACTCTACCTGATTCGACATTTTTGGCACACAGAGTTACTGGACGACCCGGAGGTTGACGTTGTGTATAATCCTGTAAGTTACACATGTTCTCATGTTGGATAGCTAATATTCACTTATCACAGCTTCCGAATGGCCTACATTACGAATGGACGATGAAAGCTCTGGCAAGGGGCAAGCATGTGCTTCTAGGTGCGTTGTTCAGTCAGCAGCCCGATCATAGAACGCTGAGCGAGATTTTTAGAGAAGCCAGCTGCGAACACAGCGAAGGAGATGCAGAAGATGTTTGAACTTGCAGAGAGTAAAAGTTTGGTGCTCGTCGAGGCGTTCCATTACAGGTACGAGAATATTATCGCTAAAATGCCCAGTGCACTGGAAACATTCACTACAGATTTCATCCCGCCATACAGCGCGTCAAAGAAATCTTGGACAGCGGAGAGCTCGGCCGTATCAAGAGTATCACTGTCAACAACTGTGCGCTCACACCGTTCGGAGAGGACGACATTCGCTACCAGTGGGATTTGGGAGGTGGAGCGCTCATGGATATGGGGTGTGAGTCTGGACGCGATTAGGTTACCTCTATGAGATTACTCGCTCATCAGTTTTTAGGTTATACCGTCAACTGCTTGCGTTACTTGGCATCCTCGGACCCGATAGAACTCTTGAGCGCAAGTTGCACGAAACATATACCGAAAAAATCTCTTCCGTCATATGAATCCAAGGTCGATAGAGCGACAACTGCTACGTTGTCTTTCCCAAACGACATCATTGGAACCATTAATTGCGATCTCTCTCAGCCATGGAAGTTTGGTGGTTTGGTACCGCCGTTTCCCGAAGTGTCTGCCAACGTAGAGTGCGAAGGAGGAGATATTCGCATCTTCAACTTTGTACTCCCGACGTTGTATCACTCCATCACTGTCAAGAAACGAGACGGCAAGAAGGTGACTAGTCGAACGGAGAAAGTCTACAAGCCTGCAGAAGGAAAAGGTGAAGAATGGTGGTTAACGTACCGGTATCAGCTGGAAGCATTTGTGGACCGTGTAAGAGGCAGAGAGCCCCAGACTTGGGTCACAAAGGAAGACAGTGTTGCGAATATGGAATGGATCGAAAAAATCTATGAAAAGGTAAGTTTATTCACCTGCTCTGGTCGATCCTTCTAACGAACACAATCTGTAGTCTGGTGTGGGACTGCGTCCAAAGTCTCAGTTTGTTCCGTAGTTGCACCCTTTGAATACTTGACGGAGCACTGGTTCGTTTTCCCATAAGTAGAGTGGATTTTTTTTGTACTGTAGAAAAATGCATCGACCGGGAGTCGAACCCGGTTCGCGATCTCAACGTCTTTATGGGAAGATCGCATCATAACCGTTAGACCACCGATGCACGTTTCGACAAGCAGCAAGGTGATCATGTGGCGATGTTGTCCGTGTTTAGAACCCGCCTCTGACGCATTTGCCGTCACCAAAGGAATCGATGAGCTTGGCTCCCCATGTAAGCCTACTCTCCACCACCACCGTTACGGCCATTTTCACCTCTTCTAAGTCTGGTCAACCATGTCATCGCAAGCCAGCGATTCAAAGAGTAGTGAGACCGCTTCTCAAATCATATACTCCGGTCTTCCTCCAAACCTAGATGCGAACGACCTCTCGCATTCGATTCCAGATGAACTACAGAAAGGAATGCGGATGACCAAAGTGACGGAAAAGAAAGTTAAAGAGGCCATGTTTCGTCTAGACCCAGACGAAGGGAGGATACTGTACGAATCAAAGAAGAGCGGTATAGGTGCGCACAATGATGCTCGTGTGGTATTTGCAAGCTAACGGGTTATTGATTTCTAGTTCCTATCGAGGCTATCAAGGAGCTCAGATTTGGTTCAGATGCGGGGTATTATCGAGCTCAATTTGACTTTCCACCAGAAGCTGAAAACCGTTGGATCACGGTCGTCTTCATCCTCGAAGGCAACTACAAGACAATGCACATCGTAGCTCCCACCGTGGAAGCTTTCAGTCTCTGGAAAACTGCTCTCGAGAAGCTTTACAAGATTCGCCAAGGTCTCATGATCGGTCTTCAGAATAACGACCTTAGAGATGCAGTTTGGGAGAAGCAGTACTGGAAGGGTGCCGATAGAAACAACGATCAGAAATTGGACTTTGGCGACGTGCAAAATCTCTGCATCCGCCTCAGTCTCAACTTCTCACAGCACGAGTTGGAGGCACTATTCAAGGTGTGGTGGCTTGGTTGGTCTGCAATGTTTACCCGTCATATCAATGACTTCAAGTTTAGGAAGCCGACGTTAACAACCGGGGCTATCTCGATTATGCCGATTATCAGCGTTTTGTGAAACTCATTAAACGACGGCCAGAAGTGGAGGCCATCTACATGAACCAGAAAGAGTCGAGGGGGGGCAAGTTCGACCTGGCAAATTTCACACAATTCATGCGCGAATCCCAGAAGGTGGGCACATAGCAGCTCTGCCTGGCTGGCCTCACACCTTTGTATGCAGTCCAACCTGAATGATGAGGAGATAAAGGCCATGTTCGTCAAGTATACGCAATCGCAAAACACCCCAGAGACCGAAGTCGAGATGTCCCTGGACAATTTCTCCGCCTTCCTTCGCTCCGAGGACAACTGCGTCTTTCCAGAGTTATACCAGCCGATCAACAACGACATGACGAGGCCAATATCAGAATATTACGTTTCGTCCTCTCACAATACCTACCTGATAGGTCATCAACTTGTCGGTGTGTCTACTATCGAGGGGTAGGTCGTCAGCTTTGGTCTACCCTGCTATATGCTGACCTTGTCCACCAGGTATATCAGAGCATTGTTACATAGCTGCCGCACGGTAGAAAGTAAGCCGGCTTCCGACTACAGCGTGCTGGCTATACTCACAATCACAAAGTGGATATCTATGACGGAGACGACGAACCCATGGTATACCACGGAAAGACCTTCACCTCCAAAGTCTCAGTAAGAGAAGTATGCCAAGCGATCGCAAAGTACGCGTTTACGGCCTCTCCATATCCAATCATGATTTCTGCGGAAGTTCATTGTGGTGTGCGACAGCAAGATATGGTCGTTGATATCATGAAGAAAGCATTTGGAGACGCGTTGATTCAAGCACCAGTCGATGGTCGTCCCAAGATCGAAGTGCTCCCTAGTCCAGAACACTTAAAGGGGCGAATCCTTTTGAAGGTGAGGACAACCTTGATGAGCGATTGGAGACGTAATTAATACGTGGGGCAGGCGAAAAACCTCTACGTTGCTGCACAGCTAGAGGCGTTACAAGCGCGAAAGAACGCAGAGGCAGCTGAAGCTCGCGCTCAACAAGCTATACTAGAAGCAGAGATGTCGTCGTCAACAACTTCATCATCTTCCGATACCAGCCTCATTGCCGAACTCAAGAGCATTAAGCATAAGCTATCTGCAAAAAAACATAGGAAGAAGGCCGAGAAGAAACCCAAAGTAGCCATGTCGTTCCGCCTGCTCTCTTTGTTGGTTTACACTGTTGGTGTCAAGTGTCGAGGTTTCAACCAGACTCAGCAGTATGCTCCCGAGCATATCTTCTCTTTGTCGGAGAATTCGGCAAACAAATATTTAAAGCGGGGTAGTATGAAGGATCTCATCAAGCACACGCAGACCCACATGATCAGGGTTTATCCAAAGGGAACGAGGGTAAATTCGACCAATTTTGAACCTCACCGGTTTTGGGCGGCTGGTGCGCAGGTTGTGGCTATCAACTGGCAGACTTTTGGTCAGTGAATTTATTTTGTCAGAATCTTAATACTCAAGACGCGCCTCAGATCTGGGATATATGATAAACCATGCCATGTTCCAGCGTAATGGTCGTTCGGGTTATGTGCTCAAACCAGCAGCACTTAGACCAAATGGAAAGGAACTCTTACGGAAGTATAGCAAACACTTTTTCCGCGTCAAGGTCGGTGTTTCCTCAGCTATGCTCTTGTCGCATACGTTGATCTAGCACTTCTAGATACTCTCTGCCCAGCAACTCCCAAGACCTCGCGATGCTCTAGGACACGAAATCATCGACAAGACGGTGTTGAACCCTTATGTCGAGGTGTCCCTTCACATCCCAGTATGGTCACAGTCCCCATTCCTACCGTCGGAGACATCGCAAGGAGTTGATTACAATCCGCCCACCGACGCATCCAAGACACAAGCCACCTCTGCACGCACCGTCACGTTCAAGACGAAGATCGTGAAGAACAACGGCTTCAACCCAGTTTGGCAGGAGGAGCTTGAATTGCCTTTTGACTGTGTGGGAGGCATGACGGAACTCATCTTCGTGAGGTTTGCTGTCCGACAGGAAGGTGATGATGACGATGACGAGCCGTTGGCGGTATACTGTGCTCCATTGGGGAGCTTGAAGCATGGTGAAATGTCTTTTCCTTTAGGAAAGTGTCGAGCTAATACTGTGTTCACAGGCTTCAGATATCTTCCGTTACACGACTCACAATTGTCTCAGCATCTCTTCTCGACGCTGTTCGTGAACATGGAAATCAGGGACGCGGAGTCCTCTAACTAGGCTGACCATAATACTTTAAGACGGACGGAATCAGTATGTAACTATACACACGAATTGTATGTAGACAATCCGTAGACAAACCGAAGTTTCAATGTATACATACCGTGTGATTGGCGCTTAGCGCTGAGCGCTGAATACTTAGTTGACACTCTCCCCCTCTCCCCATTTTCTTGAGGTACTACTCCATCTACTAAAGCTCGGATTCCTGTATCTCAACGAATGTCTTCAAGTGGATCCCAGAAATGAGATTCATCAACAAAATACCCCGCAACGTTCCACATTCGACGGAAGGGGTTTCACACAACAGCCTCTTCATTTTTCAGGGATGATCACAAAAGAGAAGGTGAAGGTCGAAAGCTTTATACAGGAGGGTACCGGCTGTATGGTACGCAATATTAATTGTTCTGATCATCGTTAGGCTCAATCAATTCAACAGACCGGTACTTTACAAGGAACTTTCGCTTTCTTCCACAAAGCTCAAGATATAGAGCGCAGATGATGAGGACTAGAGACGAAGACCCCAAACGTACATATGGCTCGAACAACAACTGCCTATACCGTGCCTAAAGGATGGTATTGCGGGTGTCTGAGAATAGCCCTTAGACATCGAGCGACCTTCCCCTGAACGACGCACACAATAAAACCATGCCACGGGCAGACCCGTGTTATTCTTCTGGATTTCCAGCCCCATGAAAGCGTTATCAGGATGTTCTCTCCTCTTGCTCGTTTTGCCATCCCTCGCGGTGTTCATAAACACCACAGTTGATGACAATAGTTCTCTGATCACTTATAGTGGTGCTTGGCCGGAGTCTCGGGATGAGCATCGCAACCAACTGGACTATGGAGGGGCGCACATGGTTAGCACTGTGGACACTGACACCGCAACCTTTAAGTTTACGGGTAAGTGTCCTGTCTCGTTCATCTTTCGTCATCAAAGGCTGAGTAGAAGTGATAGGTGTTGCTGTTTACTATCTTTCTCCTCTGTGGCCATACAACGTGACGACATCGATATCTTTGGATGGTGGCGAAGCAATAGTAGTCAACCTCACCGACCTAATCGCCTCTCCAACTCCCCCCGGAGGTTCTGAGTCCAGCCCTTATGACATCCGTTGGCACGCGAGTGGGCTAGCAAATACCAGCCATGCCGTCGTTGTATCGATGGCGAAAGGATCTGGATTCGTAATTGTCGATGCCTTCATGTACGTTTTCTTAACCTGCCCTGCGTCCTATTCTGAAGCATCTTCACAGTTACACCGCATCAGATGGTTCAAGTGCCTCCGGTTCCGACACATACGACGGTACTGGGTCCACGAACGCTTCCAGCTTTTCAAATCTCACCAAAAAGTCCAACATCCTGCCCGCCATACTTGGTGCTGTCTTCGGCGCTATTTTTCTCGCCATAATTCTACTGTGTATCTGGTATTGTCGTCGTCGTCGACTTCGGCGTACTCCACCTCGTCCCTCCATGTTATTTCCGCTCGACGACTCAGAGCTACCTGGCTCTCCAAGGCCTTTAATGGCGAGCGTCGAAGATACGCACTCCAGGGCTTGCAGTCAGCAAAGACAACACAGTACATGTTGTTTGACCAATTTTTCCGACATCCGAAGTTCTTCAATGACCTGTTGTTCAACGCCAACTTCCCATCCGCTCGACCCTCACGAAACCGTTGGTTATCCTTTCCCAGTATCCAGGAAAAGCCGCCAAATTCCTGCACACAGTCGCCATTCACATCATGCTTCGTATCATGATGAAATAAATACACCTGAAGCCGGACCCAGTTCTAGATCAACGCCCCGTTCTGCACCATCCCGTTCGTTCGTGGATGAAAAAAGAGCA